AGGCATCCCTTGACCATCTCTAAAGATTCACCTGTCCTGGATTTCGTATACAGAAAAACATTTTGTAACCAAAACCAACAGCAACAAAGTAAACCGGAGAGAAACCTCAATCGAAAAGAATGCAGAAAATATTAAAATCCACATGAATTTTAAAAAGGCACAGCTATAGAAATCACTCCAATTATAATTGTTTTTAATTGCTACCATGGGAAGTCCTGTCTCCAGGTGCAGAGAGGTCTTGTCCCAAACATGTGATCCTCAGGACAGGAGGCAACACAGGTTCTGGAACATGGGGACATTGGATGGCTCCATTGTGTCCGCATTGGGGTGGCTGCTTGCACCCCCTCCCGTTCAGTTCTGGATCTAAAGGGGGCAGAGATACATCCAGGGTGGACTGATGTCAAGTGGCTGCTGCCCATTTTCTCTGCTGTGCCCGGAGAAAAGGCAGCAACACAGGCTCTGGCGTGGGCACGGCCACTCTGCAGCCCATCTGAGAGGTGCTGACAGCCCCCCAACATCTTCCCAGCACTAGTGTCTTCAGAATGCACTCGCGGGGACACCTTGCCTAGACCGCATACAGGTGTAAGCTGTGCCCAGTCACGGTGTCCCCGATGCTCATGGTTTGACCTGTGGCCTTTCCCTCCTGATGAACGGCTCGAGGCAGAGGCTTATGACATGTGTTTTTTTCAAAGGGAAACAGACTGCTCCGCTGAGGACAGCTGGGGCCCCTGAGGAGACGTGGCAAGGCGGTTCTGAATGCGCTAAGTCAGTGGGTGATAATGGGCACCGTGTGTGCCCAGCAAAGGCACTTCCCACCCTCGGCCATAAATAGTCCTTAACTGGTTCACACTGGAGCCTAGCTATCGGATCCTCCTCCTCTCTTGCCTCTGACTCCAACCCAGGACCCACCTAGCTAGCTCGCTGGCTGGGCCAGAGCACCAGATCCTGCCCTTTATGCCCCTGAGTGAGCTGCCATTGATGCTTATGGTCCCAGGATCGGTGCTGATCGTGGGACTGCACTTTCTCAAGAAGCAGCACTGATTGGAGCTTTGCTTCCTGCCTTGGTCCTAGACCCTAGACCCTTTTCATATCAGCTAGGTGACAGAAGCCATAGGACTCAAATCACTGAAACTGGCCAAGTCCCAGGCTCCCTGTGGACCGAGTGGACATGGTGGCCCTGAGATGACCTCAACATAGATCTAGGGATATTTTTTTGTTTGTTTGTTTATCTTTTTTTTAAAAACATTTTATTAGGGGCTCATACATCTGTTATCGCAATCCATACACACATCAATTGTGTAAAGC